CCAGATGCATTTGAGATATCAAAAAAGTACTCCAGAGTGTTGTTCAGCATGGGGGTGAGTAGAAAATGAAGGCTAATCATATTTTGGGTGTACTATTCCTTTAAAGGGCTTTGCCATGAGGTTCTATTAAAACATCAGAACCAGTTGATATTTTTCATGTAGTAGATAAATCTCCACTTCTTTTCAAGAGGCGGTAAAACTAAGGTAGTCCTCTACCACTTTAAAAACATGTCTAGCCTCAAAAACACAATGGGGATTCTACAAACCTGTAATAAGTCGTCACGTTTTCAGTGGCTGGTTATTTAGAGACTTGTGGTGGAGTGATCCGTTTGTCCACAGCCTCCTATCTCCACTGGACACAGAGATAGATGGCGACGCATTACCTTGGCCAGGAATCGAACACAGAACATTCTTGCTGGTAGGCAACAATGCTATAAAACTGTGAAATGTATAGTATTGATTGTTTGGTGGGGGGGAACTCTTCTGCATAGAGTTGTTGTGCTCCTTTTATTTCTATACGGGTCTGTGCTTGTGCATATTTACAATCCACAATGCTATGGTGTAAGTAATGTGGCGTTAAATAATGCAGAGAGACTCAAGTTCACCAGTGAGCAGACACAATCGGGCCTCTCAGCTCAAGACATATCATTCCATAATGTGCTGTAGGTTTATTTCCTCACATAGCCACTTTTTTCTCTAGGAGTACACGCTGACCGAGGCTACCCTCACATGACTTTTGCTCAACAGAGGCTGACAAACAAGCAAAACCGTGTTGTATTCGTCAAGCATCAGATAGATGTCAGACAAGTCTAATCCAGTGCACCAAAAACCACAATCCGAGTACAAGGAAACTCAGAAAATATATATTCTCTCCTCTAAAATTATAAAACAATTATAAAATGTCAACACACACAGGGATGCCCTGTGAGGGCTGACAACCTCTTGGTGTTTGTAATTGATCTCACAGATGTCAAATCTATAAGTCATCATGCCACTGGCGTAACTTTCTGAAGGACTGGTGTGGATGTGTGAAGGACTTTGTGCATGAAGGGGACAGTCCATTTACTTTAGCCAACAATAACTGGGGTTGGGTGCAGCTAACTGTGTTCAGAGCGTTTTCAGTCCGTTTTTTTCTCTCTCTCCCGCTGTTCTCCAGTCCCACCTCTCAGTGAAATATCGTCAGATTTGTCGCTTTGGGACATAATATTATTTGGGGTCGCTATTCACATCGTACACAGTCGCTACGTGGAGGAGGAGAGACACACTGAATATGGCACGCCGTTTTTAACATAAATTCGGTTTCGTCTGACCAACTGTGGCAAGCCGTTTTAACATAAATTCGCAACAGCACTCAGTGAATTTTTACTGGCAGCTACTCCAACATTATGTTTAGGTAAAAGTTAGGAGACTGGTTGGTTAAAAAAAAATCAGAGATGCCACCAAAAAATCAGTTTGTTACATACCGATACATACACTTTTTCAGCTAAAAATGGTAACAGATTGTAAATTTATATAAGTAAAAAAAGCTGGGCTTCTCAAAAGACCATTACTCTGAGTTATAGATGAACATATCTGTTGTTTTATCATTAAACAGAGAATCAGACTGCAGAGCTTCTAGAGATCTGGAAAATGATTTACTCTGGCATCATTATATTGGTAGACTGGTTCATAAATCTGTTTTTAAGCAGAACACAGACACAATTAGGGACAGCTGATTTAAAGGTGAAACAGATTTACTCAAATACAGTATGCTATAATAAAATTCAACATATCTTTTTGACTCAGAAATAGCTGTGCCAGCCAACCCAGAGACAGACAGACTCACAGGACAGACTTAAAACTAAAGTATAATAAACCTACAAGAATTAAAGCACATATAATAAAAATCTGTGTATAAATGATTTTTGAAATATGTTGAGTAGCTGTAGGTCCATCAGCTACCACCCTTAGAGCGTCCCCACCAACTGTCACTGCAAAGTTACACCCTTGCATCATGCTGAAGTATTTTACCATTTTCTTTTTCACATAAGTAACAGATTTATCTTGGATTTTGTTCTTTTCTTTCGTATTTTCCTAGTTTTTTGGATGAAGACTACCTGATGTGCTGCTGGAACAATCACTGTGCCTGAAGACAGGAGGCCAGCCAACCAACCCCTTACCCCCTACCACCGACCCGCTGCATGTTGCGTAGCAGGTGAGATGCATTAGCAGAGGCAGCAGCTGTGGCCCTATGCTCCTCACATGTGGGCAGGGATCTGTGCTTTGTTGAGTTCAGCCTCCCTCTCAATAATATTAACACTCAGCTCTTAGAAACTAAGAAAACAGTTCTAAGAAACAAGAAATCCTTCAAAGTGTTCTGCGTGACACAAAGGCTGCACAGACTTAGAATATAACTCCTGAACTTTAACAGATTCTGTCATGTTACAAACGCAGACATCAGTGTGTTTAAATGTGATAGGCCAACACAGACATGCACTACCCTGGAAGGAACAAAATATATGACTTCCAAACTCAATTACAATTAAAATCTGAGAGGAACGACATGCTTTATAGATCAGACCGCTTTATTCTGACCCCCCTAAATAAATCCAATACCACTAATTGTCTTTACCTAAGTTAGTTAATAGTCAAAGTGTGTAATTAAATTTCAGCTTTTTGTATTTTCTATAAGCCTTATAAGGAATATTGTACATATGCAATGCTGTCGACCAGCAGTACATTTTTTTAGACTGCAGTAAAAGTTCCATACTGTATGTAGGGGTGGACTGATCTGGCTTATCTCGCTAAACGCAAAACCCTTTCTGTAAAACATATCAGCTGTAACATGATGTTTTGTTTTTTGTTTTTTGCAGATACTTGGAAAACGATCAAGTTGGTTGTACTACAGATAAAGCCAAAAATAGGGATTCCTAGGTAGAGTTTGTGAGAAATTTAAGCTCCTGTGGAGCTTTTTAGTTTAACGTGTTTTCAATTGAACGGGATAGCCAAAGTCCAGAGCTAATCTGATTGATAATACATGACAAGACTGTAGAATATCTGGTCAAAACATTCTAAATTAAATGAAGCTACATTATTAACTGGAAAGAGGAAATATCTCATTGTCTAGATAAGTAAAGGAGGTAGAGACAAATCCTAACATCCTTTCAGCTTTAATAGCAGGGAAAGGCAGTTATAAATTTTAGCTCAGGGGGTGGTGTGTGCAAATACAAGCTTCATTGGAACAAGTTTCGTCTTATTTCATTTTTAACAAAACATCACTTTCCTTCATGATTATGCACGACTCTAACTTAGACCTGTTTATGTGGACGAAATACCCCTTCATAGCATCATGCTAACACCACTATTACCCCATTTACACTACCCTTGAAAAACTGTGCCGAGACCTGTCCGAGCTCAGTAACTGAGATAACTTATCTTGTGTAAATGCAAAGCAAACTGAACTGAACCGAGCTAGACACAACCGGACCGAGATAACTGCAGACCAGTTCCAGAGGTGGGCTCGGCTCGGTTTTCCCTGGCTCGGTTCTCTGACAACAAGAGCGCATGAGCAGAACGCGTCATCTCCGTCTGGCTGCACATCGCGATTCACACTCCGTTCCAGTAGTTGGCGGTAAT